GGGGGGGGGGTCTTGCCGCGCCACTCATTAATTGGGGCGGGGAGGCAAAAGCCTGTGAAGTAATTAGAAAATCAAAAAAAGAGACACATTTGGCCTCATTGTCAGCACCTTTCAAAGAAACACTTTGGTCGGCACTGGGGCGAAGTCACGGACAGAGGGGCTGCAGCTTTCACCTTCATCTGTGTTGGGGATTCTTCACTCAATTAGGGCTCTAAACAAAACATAGTCTTTCGGTTCTAATTATCATCTGAGGGATGAGAGAAAGGTGATGGTTTAGGCGGGTGGGTGGGGGGGGGGGGCCCCATCCAGGATACTTGAGGCCTTTCATCGTCCGGTGCCTTGTTTTCCAGCGTCCCTGCATCTCACCCAGGGCCCAGTATTCTTCCTCAACAAAGGGAGGATCTTCAGAAATATGCGGAGCGTCTGGAGTGTTGTTTGCCAGAGCCGTGAAAGGAGCTCTCGAGGGACAATAGGGTGTGGGTCCTGGCGGTGGCCCATTTTGTCCGTGCGAATCATTTCACACGCACCCGGGGCAACAGCGGAGCGAGGTGTCAACGTTAGCGTACTTATTAAGATTGTAAAAGTGGGGGTCTGGGCGCTGGGCTGTTTGGGCACATGGCAGAGCTTCCTGCCAGCCTCTTCACACTGCCCATCACGCATGACAGTGCCACCTGGAGCAGTATCTGTCACAAGTAATATTACTGCCAGTAATGTTGTTTAACAGGTGACTTCATCCATACATCAATCCTGTCAATCAATTCTGTATAATAGATGATTTCATCCATCCATCCTGTCAGTCAGTTCTGAATAGGTGACTCATCAATCCATTCATCCATCCATCCTTCCTGCCAATAATAATGTTTAATAGGTGACTACATCCATCTGTCCGTCCATCCATCCATCCATCCATCCTCTCAATAATGTTGTTTCAGATTAAGATCACATGGGAAAATTCTGGTGCATAGAGCGGCAAGACCATACTGCACAGACGGACGTACATGAAGTGCCAAGCAGACAGTAGTACAATGACAGTACACACAGTGCAAACAGGTAATCAGAGTGTGAACGGATTTAAAAAGTATACAGTACACAAATAAATGAAATACTCTGAAAAACACAACCTGATACTAAAAATAAATATTTAAAGGTAGGAATAATAATTATGTCCAAATAAATTTTGTGTAGTTAGAACAGAAAGCGCATGATTGTATTGTAATAGGTGTAATAGGTGACTCTGCCTATCCATCCTTCCATCCCTTCATCCTGCCAATAATGCTGTTTAATAGGTGACTCCATCCATCCATCCTCAGCCCACTTTACTTGGTGAGGTTGTGGTTTAAACAGATAAGTTTTACATACGTTTATTTTGTTATATTTAATTTAAGGGAATGTATAACTAATCTGTGGAAACTAATATTTGTTATTGGACTGTTTACTGAAAATGCATATTTAAAGTAAAATTTAAATGTAAATATTTAAGACTACAAGGACAGTTTGAAACAAGGGAGGTTTTTTAAATCTCATTCTTTTGCAAAGCAGTGTGGTTTTCTTATAATAATAATAATAATAATAATAATAATAATAATAATAATAATAACTTTTACGCCTGTCCCATGTCTGCTCAGAGTATGACGGAGGAAGGAACTGTGACCGGCGTTTTAGTGTGATCCTCAGGGCCTCCACATCCCAGGGTTTAGGGTCTGTCAGTACAGGGCAAGTGTCTGATGCTGAAGAAGGCGCTTAACCATAATACGCAGGTGCCCAAACAAGTAAAAACTACCAGCTTAGTAAGTTGCCTTGGATGAAGGCATCTAAAAGTCAGGGTAATAATGTGCTGTGGTGGCTGTGGGTCTGACTCATGCTCTCTGCCAGCTAAAAACTTTTCACCTCAAGTCATTATATATTTATTTATACTTTAATTCTGCTACTACAATGGTGTTAAAAAGTCTTCCTCCCAAGACTTTAAGTGAACACTTTAAATGCATTTTTTCATAACCTCAGAAATTCTTAAAACGTGACCCTTTTAAAAGGGGATCAAGGCCCCAGCTTAATTAAAAGTGTTGTGGTACCTTCTAAAGTATTTTTTTACCTTGTTTAGGCGGCATATTGGCTTGGATGCACTGGACAACAATGCAAGCTTATTAAAAAGCTAAAAAGGGGAAGGCTGTTTCAGTTAAGTAAATAAAACGTGAAAAATAAGCTGAAGTCTTTACACTATATGTTTGTGCAGCTGGACACAAATTAAGAGTAGCACCCTTGCTTCTCAAGGGTACAACAGCAGGGTCTCTCGTAATCTCACCCTGGCAACTGTTTAGACACAAATCCAGGCTTTTAATGGGCACTTGTTGCTGGGTGAGCTCCGCAAGAGGCCAGGGGTCTGTGGGGGAGGAAAAGTGATTCTGTGCCCTTGTGTTGTAAAAATACAACAGTTTTATAATAATATTCTGTATGTCAGAGGTCCCCGGAACTATTATATATTGTTAAATGTGTGAGGTACAGCTTTTTATTTTAAAATGTTTTGGAATTCATTTTACAAAAAGATCATTCTAATATTACATTTTATGTAAATATAACAATGTAACTTTTAAGAAGGATACAATATTACTTTACATTTAATTTACATTACTTAAATTTGGATGGGTATACTTTTCTCTGAAAGGATCGTAATACTTTCCGTTTGTAATCTTTGTAAGTTTTATGTGAAAATTTAGAATAATCACTGAAGTACTGGGGCTGGTGTTACATAGGAAGGGCTTCTGAATGACTTTATTGCGGTCAGCAATGTCCTGTCCTGCCCTCTCCTGTCTATTCATCACAGTCACCCACTCCACTGGCCAATCCTCTGTCATTCCTGTTTATCTGCTGCAGAATTTCAGCCCACGGACCACGGAATGCCGAATGCCCTTGCAATAAAAGGACCGTCTGTAAGAGAATGATGTCACAATGGACAGACTTCATTATATATTCGGAATATGTATGATATTACATTAACTAATAATGAGGCAGGAATCTGTGTGTTAAATATTTATTATGGGTCGGCCTGCAGCGTATAATGTTAACTGTCTGCTGACGTGAATAATGGCGGCAGTATAAACTGATGGCAGCCTCTTCTTTCGCCGCCTGCCCTCCCCACCCATGTGGCACCATTGATCATTATTTCTTCTTAGGCTGTATTTGCACAATTGTCTGATATCCTTTTGATCTCTGGTTGATCAGACGCAAACTATTACTTGGTTAAGCTTTGCGTTTCATCCCTGCACTGCTGCTTTTACCTCCAGAAAAAGGTTCTAATTTCTTTTCTGGAAAAGGTTGCTGCTTTATACTCTGAATTATACCTTAGATAGCAGTCCTTTTCAGAGCATTCTCTCATTTTATATAATATAATGTCTGAAATCCCTGATCTGTCATTAAACATGTATTGGATGCTTTTTTCCCCCAGAGCCATTTTTATTCCGTACACAATATAATTAATATATATATATATTTTTGTCGTTTTCTAACGTCTAGGCGAACATCATGAAGGATGATGTCATAATCGGCCAATGGCGTGCTAAGGTTCCCCCCGCTTGTCATCACTTTGGAAGGCGGTGGGAGGCTGGGCGGCAATTATCTGCAAAGTCCAGGTTTGTGGTCAGACACTTCAAGAGCTGTGGAACACGTCTGTTGCCATGAGACGGGTTGATCATGCAGTGAACACACCAGCGCCAAATGCATTTGATAGATGGAAACAACTATCAGAAAATGAAATAAATAGCCTGCACTTGCTATTTTTTGCCCAAACACTTTGCTGAAACGAGTGGCATAAGGCGAAGTGACATGAAAACCAGTGAAGGACAAACTGTCCGTATTCACTCACATGGTGACGTAATGTCTCTTTGTCTGGATTGGCCAGTGGAGATGTACCATTTCTATAGCCATTGTTCGCTTAAACCTGCCTATTAAATAGTTTCCTATTAAACTGGGTTTTCGGATCTGCAATGTGCTGCGTGCTCGGAGAATTAAATATAGTACAGCCTTTGGCTTATATGACTTGAAGTGTCTGACACGGCGTCTGACTGGCCTGACCGAGAGCCCCCCCCCCCATTTCTGTGGCAGTGCCAGCTTCCAGAGCGAGGCTGTCTCTCGGGAGCGGAGCAAGGCCCTGCACACATCGCGTCTCCATTACCCCAAAGTTATCGATTTCCTTCCCTCCCATCAGCAAGTCTTCTTCCCCCCCCCCCCATGCATTCGCCCCAAGAAAGTGGCGAACGTAACCGTGGCTGGCCGAATGTGGCGGTTGCTATAGCGATGGGCTCACCTCGACTCCCGGTGGAAATGAGCAGCAGGGGCAGGCGGAGGATCTCCTCCGCTCCTGACAGCCGAGCTTTCGGGAGGAATGGCCGTCTGGACGGAAGTGACTGAACTTTGGGGCGAAACGCTGCTTTGTGGCTGATTAAAAAGGAGCGAAAGGGGCAGGCGGCAAGAATGAATCGTAATGAATTATTTAGAGCGCATGGATCTGAGGCGAGGTTTACTCTGATGGCAGTGATGATGAGATAAGAGATAAGACAGAACTTTATCGATCCCCCTGGGCTAGACTTTTGTTGTCCAGCAGCACTACGCAGATCGAAAGATAAATACCTCCCAGGTGAGGCTAAATGATGTGACGTAATTACAGTGAGGTGGGAATGCATCACCCAGCAGATCTCACAGCCTCCCTTCATTGTGTCGGTTCGTTTAATCACGTATCTGGCCTCCCCCCACGCCCCTGCCCAGCTGTGGGGGGGGTGTTGTGAGTCCCTCCTGCTCAGGGATTGGCATTGATGTGTGTCCACCCCCCCCCCATCCTCCTCCAAACGACGCGAATATTCCACCGACTAAAACAGATATTACGAGGGTACAGCGGTGTTCATTAGATCAGCCTGTAATCTGTTTGCGGTGCCGTCTGACGACATGCCTGTGAGCTCCGGGTTTTCCTGACGAGCCCACTGACAAGGCTGTCATCAAGTAGTATTAAGGTATCAATGTGACGGGCTTCTCTAGTTTCTCCCAGGTTTTTTCCCATGGTCCGCTGAGTGTCTGATGACGCATGACCCAGAGCAGTCTGGCCTAGGTGTGACATTATGGTTATTTAATGGCTGTAAGGATTAACGTATATGGCGGCAGTCCCCAGAGGCCTCCAACGCGGACGCCCAGCGCTTCCCGACATGGTTAATCACAGGCAGCGTGGCGGCTTGCTGGGCTGCAGGCATCGAATCGAAATAGAGTCCCCCGTGTCGAGACTGCGGATTCCCCCAGGATTCCCCGAAGGACCAGAGTGCGAGAGCCCTGTGATGGAGTGGGCAGGTAATGCCCCAAAATCGAAGGGGAAAAAAAATCTGGGACCTTCCCAGTTATTTCGTTCTAATATTAGCGGCACCTCGTTCCTGCTCACAAATTGGCTGCAGACAATCTCTCTCTAAGGTCACGTGGTCAGAGCTGGCACGTCGAGGTGGATTTCATCATTTCGGCCGGTCACTCGATGAGGGTGTAGGCAGTGCCTGCGGAATGCCACACGCCGCGGGATCTCATCTTGACAATTCATTAATTGGAGACACTAAGGTACAACAGAGGTTCCCCCACCAAAACATGCAAACGACACCTGACTGCCGGAACATCATGGTCGCTGCCGGTGCACACGTGCTCACATTTCCGCTAATTTAATTTCAGCGCTGGTACCCATTTGGCCTCAGATGCCGTGCCCCCCTTAAAACGGGAAGTGTGTGAATAGGATCGTGTATGTTATAACGGGTTAAAAAAGGTCTGATGAATAAAAGATGAGCACCTCTTTGCAGCTCTTTGCTGAGGTGCTCTGTCACTGAAAACATCACGAAGCTGTCAGATCAGATCAAAGATGCATTTTGATACGGGTTTATGGAGACGTAGCGCAGCACGGGGAAACAGTGTTTGCGTATGTGTTTCCCTCATAGATGGAAATAAAGCTCATCATGGAGGTGCTGATCCTCACTAATTTATACATATAGACCACCTTTTCTTACCGGACCATAACAGGAGTGTACATTTTTTCCACTAATCGGGCATGGATGTTGTAAAAACTCCTGATTTTTTTTCGGATTTGTTTCTTTATCTGTGCATTCCAGGGCTTTCTCAGTTTGGCTGTGCCTATCACAGCAAAGTGCTTAGTATAAAAATGACAGTCCACATTGGAATTGGTGGGTTGAAATGTAGAGTAATCCATCTTTGGTGTTTGGGGGTAGCAGTTCTATAAGGGGTGGGGCAAGTGTGTCCCTAGCACCGACTCCCCCCCCCCAGTCCTCCTGTGTGTGTGTTGTGCTTCTTTTGTTTTTGCGGAGTGATCTCCCAGCACCAACCCCCCCAGCACCCGTCAGTGGCGGCTTGGGCCGGAGCTCCTGATCTGACATAATAACTGTTTGGGAGTCACGTCTGAACCTCCAATCCTTTTATGAGTGGTTTCTAACATCTCCGTGTGGGAGTTCCCTCGCTCAGGGACTCGGAGACGACATCGCTGAGAATCGGTGATGTGAAACTCTGCCTCCGACACCACTGTAGGTTCTCTGCCATATCGTTTCTTGGGCCTTCACCAAACAAGCAAACTCCTACCAAACCATAATAAATTTGGCTGAGAGGTTCAGCTTTGAAATGGGGACTTCAGTCCTCTGCAGTGCCATTTTAAGAACCAGGGCATTCCTGATTGTAATTCAGGTTTTTTTCAGAAGCGTTCCTATCCATCCATTTTCTGTAACCACTTATGCAGGCCGTGGTCATGGGGCTCTCTCTCAGGATTCCCAGGGCACAAGGTGCGGAGACACCCTGGACAGGAATCTGATCCACCTCAGGTCGCCCACTCACGCCCAATGGACACCAGTTTGCCTCGCTGCACGTATTTGGACGGGACTCAAAGCCCCAGCCTTGGGGGTGTGAGGTGACAGCATCACCCACTGCATCACCGTACCACCTACATGTTCCTACCCACCAGCCATAGCAGTAAAGTGATGATCTTTGCAGAAGTCACAATGGACTCTGTTCAAAATTGCTTCAATGTTCACCAATATTAGTGCAACATCATTTCATGGCCTGGCCACATCAAAAAACAGGACAGGAGGAGCTGCAGCATGCTGGACATCTCCAGGCATTCAATAGTTTGATCTTGTTTGTTAGCCTTTTCTTTAACTTGGATAGATAACATTGTTTTGACTTGTTTGCTGGTTGTGATTTTCCCGACTGAGGTGCAGCAGACAGATCCCACACGACAGATGCTGTTCTGTCCAGCAGCAAGCTGCCAGCCAGCTGCTTATAAAGGGTCCAGCAGGTGTTCACTCTCACAAAATCAGGATGCGATTCATGGGCAAACTGAATATATACAGAATGTATCCTGCCGCAACATTAGCTGAACGAGCAGTTCTAGGAAATGGATGAATTAATAATGTCCTGGCCTCGGTATGCACTCACTGGGCATTTCATTAGATACACCTGGCTAGAATCGGGCAGGACACTCTGTTGCCCCCAGAAGTATTTCAAGGGCTTATGAGATGTATGTTTGGAGAGGCTTTTCTGCACGCAGCTGTTGTACTGAGCTGTTATTTTTCAACTTGTAGCTTTAACGAGTCTGGCCACTCTCCTCAGACCTCTCTCATTAACTAGATAGATCTGGCCACAGGAATGCCATTGACTGGCTGTAATTTGTTCATTGCGCCAGTCTCAGCAAACCTGTAAACACTTGACACGGTGGTGTGTGGAATCCAAGATATCCCACCTCTCCCAAATGTCCCTCGATTCCCCTGCAAATGGACAGCAGCTTCCTCACTTCCGCAGATGACGTACAATTTCCTGGGAATCCGTCCACGGGGTTATTTTAAATGAGCTAATGAAGGGGCTACAGACCGTCTCAAGAAGGTGGCTGTTTCTGAGAGGCTGGAATTACCGCATCTGGGACCAACAATCACACCACGTTGGAAATGGCTTTGATGAGCCTTCTTAGCTGTTCTAATGCTTGGTCACATGGTGGCTAAGCCTCCTAGAATACCATAGAATAATAGTATTTCATTAACCCCGGTGGGGAAATTCTCTTTTCAACTCTCCCAACTTGCTCTCCATGAGACATATAGACACATATGCAGGTGAGAGCGAGCTTTGGAGTGACAGCACAGGGTCAGCCAGCATGCTGCACCCCTGGAGCTGGGGGTTAGGGGCCTTGCTGAAGTCACCATGGACATGTGACCCTTGAATCAGTGACCTTACGATCACAGGCACAGAGGCCTAGGCTGCCGAGCTACACATCGGCCCCTGTCTGTTTGATTTGGTATGTATTCATTTTCAGCCACATGATTGGCTGTTTAGAGCAGGCTGTCTGCGTTAACAAGTAGGTGTGCCTAATATATCAGCCACGAGTGTACGTTAGCTATGCTAAAGTGAAAATATACGTAGCTGGGTCAGGGGTGCATGAGTTTCTTCCAGGTACTCTGATGTTATCGGGCAATCTAAAGAGATGTAGTCAGGTGAATTGGTGTCTCTGAATTGCCCATAGTGTGTGACGGCATGGGTAATTGTGTGTATGTTTCTGTGTGTGTATGCCCTGTGATAGACTGGCATCCAGCCCAGTTTGTTCTTCTGCCTTCTGGCTCCC